TCCGTTATTTTCTCCCGCACATTATTATATGGTAATTAAGTGCACGACTGTTATTAACGCACATTATGTAGACACGTGGAAACCACGGATTTGACGATGGCTCGGCGACTTCCGGTGACATAAAAGCAAATTGACACATCATTTCGCGAGAAAAAAAACGTCATTGCAGTCCTTATTACTTCCCTTCTGAAATTACATACTGCAATTGCACATTTTTAGGTGTCCTTGATGCTATTTCTTTTAAACAAACGTTTCGGACAATAAGGTAACAAGTGAATCAAACATATTATTTGGAGAAAATGTAAACTTCGAAACTGTATTAACACTTAAGCAATCGCCTAAAAAGAACTATAATTATAACCATTTTCTCTGACTCTAACTGAACTCATTCATCTGATTTGATTAAAAACTTTGTCTTATGAAAGCAAGAAATGTTTCTGATGAATTGCAAATAATCCCAAATCAAGACTTACTAAATACCAAAAGAAGGAATAAACAAAATAGAAAGCAATGCGTTGCTGAGTGAAAAGTGGAAGATCTTCTCATTCGGTGGATTAAGTGTTAAGGAAAGATCAAATTTTTACATTTGTAGGATTCAAATTCTATTTGAAATAATGCATTATAATAATATCTTAAGCATAAATGTTATAAATATTTTCTTCCATTTATTCTGCAATTTATTTTTGTTTTTTATAAACAAAACTCTCACATTTATATTTTATCAAAAAGAAATCCCTGACGAACAATCCTTTGTGTTATGGAATGTTGTCGAACGTAAAACTGCAGTTTCTCGTGATAAGACTATGGCATCTGTTTGAACATAAATAATATTTTCGTTTTTAATCATTTCACAACACCTAAACCATCAAGCAGGCGATTAAGGAAATGTAAAACTTCCAATAATACGTTCAAGTTCATAAAACTTTGTCTTTTATGGCGGTTTTGTGTTTATTTTGCAAGGTGGTCAGTGGAATTAGAATTTTATTGCTTGTAGATTTCTCTGTCTTTACGATGATGGTTCACTTAGAATTTATTATCGTGACTGGACGCGGTTGAGCAATAAATTCACACTCAGTAACAGAGTGAGGCAGATAAAGTAATTAATTCTTTGCTTTCGTTTAGAGATATAATTTTCATACACATCTATTATTTCTTTATAGAAGATTCTTTTAGAAATCAGGCCTAACAATGGCGATATTCGAGAAACACGTTTAGTTTCGAAACTCGAAAGTTCACTTTCTTTTTTTGTTTACTTTCAAGAAACTTTCCTCAGATCTTTATCTTTACTCTATTCTTATTTCTATTCTAGCAAATGCTTCAATTCGCAAAGACACGTGCAAAATTTTTGAACCATTTACAAAAAAACAGTCATGATTTTTTAAATATGGATACAAAAACTATAGATCATGTACATTGTACACATTTGCAAATGGTAGGATAGTATGAATAAAAACTTATACACTGAACGAAGCAAACAACAAAATAAAACAGGAATATTGATCAAATGTTATCAACGTTCTATTTTATTTTCATTAAAATAAAATTCTCAATATTTTTGTGTAAAACAGATTTTACCTATAGTTTCATCAATCTCGATTTTCTAGTCAACCTTCTACTAACATTTATATTAGCCTAATAAAGCGTTGCTTTAAGAGAAAATAATTTAATTTCTTGGCTTCTTAAGATATCTATATGAAGATATGAACCATTCAATTAAAACGAGACTTCGTCTCGCGCGTGTTTATGTCTTTACGCCTAATACGTGAGAAATTGGCGATAATTCACGGTTAAATTAATTTTGAAACTGTACACTGCGTATCTGGAGCAGACAGCGCGAATTGCGAATTCAGTTCCCACCGGATCAGGGATCTAGATAAATTGTTATCGTTATTTTATTACTGACAGATCTTATCTCTGTTTGTTCCCGCTTTCGTCAGTTGGCGGCAATAGCACATGATATCATATTTGTACCAAAACTCGTGACATAAGGTACTGCTCGAAGTGCATGTGTGTCATTCCTTTGATGCAAACGGTTATTTGGTGACGAAATAGTACAAGTAATTGTCTCATACGATTAACCCCTTGCTTTATGATTTATTTTTTAATTATAATCGATGCAACTACTTTATCGTTAATAATTTATTAACAAAAGAAAAAAATGTTGATGCTTACTCTCTGTCTACGTTAACTCCAAAGGTTAACGATTGATAAAAGAAAAATAATATTTAATTTATATTAAAAAGGAATAAATAACATGTAGGTGTCTAAAATTCAGTTGAAAATTTTCGGTTAACAGTAGCGTGTAATTGTTCCAATGGTCCGAGTATTAGTGTTGTTACATCAATATAAAATTTTAGTTCAAATATTGAATACACATTTTACATTTATATATGCTTATAAATAATGTGAAATATATATGTTACGCACATTAAATGTAAATATTTGTATTTGAATATAAAAACAGAAAAGTTTGAGAGTATTTTTTTGCCATTTGTAGAAGAAATTTAGAGCGTGATATCCGAGTTCTCTTGCTTTATTTATTGAATATATATTTGTTGTTTAAGTTTGTGACCTTAACAATTGATTTCACTATAGGAACCTACTTATGATATGGCTTCTGACTGTGATTAATTTTGCCTTAACAAATTTTTCTTACAATTAATTATATTACATTTAATTATGTTACATTTACTACTACAACTTTTAAAAATTCAAAATCAAATTTAATTAAGTGTTTACTGTATTTACTTTGAATAAATTTGTACGATTTACGCTGTTAATAGTATAATATGCATTTGTGGAACTTATAAACGAACGTTTCATTTCATGTATTACATTCAGCACCAAAAAATTTACAGGAATAATCGTGCATGAACGCCGGTGCATCGATGTCTACCGAAAACATAGTAAACATAAAAAAAACAACAGACGAGCAGAACGAGACCTATAGAATGCAAAACAATCTTCCATTCGGAGTCGTACTTGCCACTCAAGTTATTACTCGAAATCCAGTGTTTCTCAAGCTTCGTTCTGTTACAGTTATTTTTGTTTTATCGCAAATTACAATAGCTAATTTATCTTGATTCCGATAGTCATTGTCTAGCCCAGAAAATATTTTCGCGAGGAGGTAATAATGAGTGCATGAGAGTATACAATAATTGATTAACTGCACAACATGCTTTCGTTATTATTTTTAGTGCACGAGAATGTATAACAATTACTTCAATTTTGAAACAATATTCTTTTAGATGTAAGCAGAATTTTTTATCGAAATTGCTCATTATCTATTGAAAGTTGATATTATTTAAAATAGTAAAAGATTTGTCATTCTTAATAGCTTATTGTCATTTAGAGCTTTTTTTAATTCCAAAAGAATACTTCCTATTTGTCTCTCACTGCACGAAATAAAATAAACTTTTTTTTCAAACTAACTTAAAATGATGTAGATATTCCATTTTCAATATACATATTACTGTAAAAAAGATCAGCTTACATCAAAAATTAGTTACATAGTCATCGAACGTGTTAAAACTACAGAAGCTTTTATAAAACAATTTATCACATCACAGACTTTGCACATGTGTAATACTGTCTACAGTCTACTTGCTTGAAGTAAACTACTTCAAATAGTTTACACCATCACAAATCAATAAATTCACAAACTATTAAAATTGTCTGCGTACAGTTAACATGCAAACATAGACGCAACCGAAGACTAGACATCAAATGGTTCACTTGAAACTGCTTTTTCAATTAATCGCATGCCCCACATGCATGACAACATGACGTCAACCCTTTATGACCGACAAAACCGAATCTGTAGCAATTCAGCTTATATTATATTAAGCTCCATTTTCTTGAGCTTGAAATTGCCATGAACTCATCATTTATAAATTTATACACAAAAACAGAAAAACATTGCTCCCCATCGAACTGCATCCTCTTTATAATAAACGCAGTCAAATATATTTCTATCATGTCATACAATTTCTAAATCTCTTTCAATTTATCTTTTATTGGTAATAATTATTTCATACTCAACTTTATCCACATCATTCGCTTAATTGTCTTAACAGAATGATTCAAAGCAACAATAACCTATGTAATTAATTCTTTTAAGCAATTCATTAAAATGAAACAATATCTATCACTAAAAAAATGTACAATTAAATTACTGACAGAAACTATCCCAAAAAGGGACTAGTACATTATTCACCGAATTGCAATTATAACTTCATATTAATAAAAAAGAAAGAATAACTAAATCACTAATAGAAACTATTTTATTAAAACACTGTGCCATTTTTTTAACTTACATTAACTACATTCGATTAATTTATTTATTGTCCAATATATTTTTGTAAGTTTCCATTATAAATATAGAAATACTCCCAATCACACGGAAGAAACACACATACCTACTTTTAATAAAAAAAAACATTAATGAAATAAATACGAATATTTATTTACTACTATTCTATACTATTTGTTAAGAGAATAAATAGAGTGACGAATACTGATCAATCCATCACTGACCAAATACCGGTCATAAAGGGTTGAAACCACCGGTAGATCGTACACGAGCGCGTCCCGGTTTAACCCTTTGCATTCGATTTATTTTCAATATTACCGGGTGTAAACTTGTATTTATTTTTAGGAAACTGGATTAAAACAATTTCCAGCGGTATAATTTTAAAAATTTTAAATGTTAGAAACGTTTTATGTATCTTTTATTTATTATTATCATAATGAGATTTAATTTTTAGAATATTTTAAAGTGTGGTACTTTTTAAAGTACAACAATCAAAGTATAGCAAATTTGTATTGCCATCTCCAGCATGACGAGTGCAAAGGGTTAAGTTTGAGAAATCCTGTCCATCTGGCACAGCACGACGATGTCAATTTGCATAGAATGTGGCGTTGCAAAATTCGTACGGTGCTAGCCGCAAGCCCAGTTCTGCGCGGCAGAAGCAATAACGTAGTACGCCTCGTCTCTACAGGAACCGATCGTTATCGAGAAAGCGGACGAAGAGGAGGCAGCGACGATTTGT